CAGCTAACTAACTTTACTCGCTTTTCTGTTTGTAGGACCTCCATTCGTACACAATCTGGATGCTTTTGAAGGATTGAGAAGAAAACCTGCTCCACTCGTAATTCGCGCTCTATCGCGAAATCAGCCGTTGGGTTGCTGTACATCTTCCGCTCTCAATCATGACGTGAGGTCCTGCGAGGTTGTCGTAGCCGACGCTACCGTGATTGTTATTCGATGACCATGTACTGATGTTTTGTACGATTCCGCGAACCGTTCGCAAAACAATGTTTTTGTCTTGTTTGCATTGCATTGAACAAAGGAAGCTGCCAGCTGGCACCTTCCGAACACTTACAAGTTTGGCTCCTTCTTTTTGGAAAGCCAGTTGTGACTGAGTTGTAAGCTGGAGAACCTGGCGATTTCGTGGTGTTTGTTACAGTTTTGCCGGAGAACGCGGCTTGGGAATAAAGAATTAATCCAACCGTGTTTGACAGAAGCACGGTAAATTAAAAATCCACTGAACTCCAGCACAGAGGTTCACTGCTGCTAGACTGTGGCAACCATATGTATAGTCCCCTCCACATTTGCTGCTTCCCCTGCTACCCTTGGTCTGCGTCTCAGACCTGCCACGTCTGGCTAACATGTTGGCAACATGGCAACAACATGTTTGCAACATGCCACAACATGTTGGCAGGACATTTTAGCCACGCCAACATGCTGCTGCATGCTGCCAACGTGTTGCTGCCAACGTTGCCAACGTGTTAGTCACACGTGGCACGTCCGCGACGGCAGAGGTAGCAGCAAATGTGAAAGGGACAATATACCTATCGTATTCACTTGTTATATCCAGTTATGCTTCGTGGTGCCTACAATTATCTACACACTTATGAAAGCTGCATGAAATGTGCGCTTTGTTTTTCACGCTTGGATTCCTCTACAAAACCAACTAAGCTTAGACAAAGGGATGACTGAAAAGATTGTACAGGAATGCGAGGTTGCTAGAATCAATCACTTTATGCTGCATGTCTATTCTGAGATATCAACACTGAGGTTGTTGAAAGAAGCAAACAATGACAAAGTCGGTCTTTAGCGATTAAAGACGCTTGTACCGCTTTCAAAAGTTTGTTTAGACGAGGTATAAAGTTGGACAAGTTTAATCGATATCTTATAGTCACTATACCACCACATCTGTTTTTGAAACTGAAGCAAATTCGAACAACTAGAACACTTAGCAAAAAGATACCTTTGGCTGGTTACAGTCACCCATTTGGTCTGCGTAACTAGCATCATAAAAGGCACTGTTTTTTCTTATATGTTGTTTTTTTTAACATACTTTTCTTTATAGTCGACTAGCTGGCTTACCCGGCTCCGCCGTATGTTCCGAATAGAAAACTCCATTTCTTAACCAATCCGGACCAAACTTGGCACACATACACTTCGGGCCCCGTCGGGTGTCACATTCCACTTTTCGTTATCGATCGGTGTCGATTTTATCGATTGATGACGAAAAGTAGCCTATGACACCCGCCGGGGCCCGATGTGTATGTGTGCCAAGTTTGGTCCCGATCGGTTCAGAAATGGAATTTTCTATTCGGAACATACGTACAGACATACAGACAGACATACAGACATACAGACAGACATACAAACAGACATTCAGCTTTATATATAAGATGTATATAGACGATGAGACTATCATAGGTGGTACTGACTCATTACTCTCTTCGCCTCCACTTCTATACGGATAGTAGCTGTTGACGCACGGAAATCAGGCTGGATTGAGACCTTGTGCGGAATCATCGTAAACCTCATGAGCTTATCATACTATGGAGCTTATCATCTCATGGAATATATCGGCTCTCAAGTTCGTTTAAAATGAATCTACTCTCGCTTTACAGAATTAGAAACACAATATAATAAGGCCCTGCATAACGTTTAATGAGAGTACATCTCTGTGGTGGAAAAGGAACTTACTAGCAACTCTGGAAGCTCGACAGTCTCCTAATCATAAAGAAATGAAAAATACCGAAATGAGACTATAACTTAGGATCTTCATAGTTTATAAAGATTCCCGTTTACTAAGAGAACACAATCGGGTGACAAATGATGTAATGAAAAGAATAGTATGTGCGAAACGCGTGTTTATGAATAAGCTAACAGAGTGAAATTTGCGCAATCGTTAGCTTATAGTCACTACTCACAAGGAAACGATACTCGGTGTCCGTGGCCTTTTGAGATGAGTTGTATACCATTACACTCGTCTTGGAACGCTGATTCCCAATCTGACTTCCGTTTCTGCTAATCGCTTCAAAGATGTTACAAAGGATTGTGCGGGCTTAGGCTGCCCATTGAAGTACTTTCGGAGCGCCAAGAGTAACGGTGCAGTGTAGTCTAATGGTTAGTGCGATAGACTCATGATGATGATGCAGGGGTAGGTTCGAATCCTTTCCTGTTTTTCAGTTTTGCATTGCCTCAATAAACCTTTTTTCGCATCTCCGAGCTAACTGAACGCCCTTACTCTTCAAAAAATGTGGAAATTTGGAAAAAATGATTACTATTCGCGCTAAAATTTATCCCATGATCATAATTCGAGTAAATCTCGAAAAAGTTTGATTGAGGCAGTGCAAAATAAAAACACGAAAGGATTTGAACCTACATCTGCATCAAGTTATGAGGCTATCAGACTAACCACTAGACAATAACGTGGCATCGGTAGAGGCCCTTCAGGTGACCATACCCTTGAGCCGCCAAAGTTGGCTCGAAATCTTCCATAACTTCTTTCAGAAAAACGATTAGCAGAAACGGAAGCCAGATTCGGAATCAGCGTTCGAAGACGAGTGTAATGGTATACATCACGTCTCAAAAGGCCACGGACATTGAGTATCGTTCCCTTGTCAGACACTCGCGCCGGCCGGCGACCGGCCGACGACGGCCTTCCGGCGGGTGGGGGAACGAAAGCCGCCAGGTCCAGCCGCCTCCGCGGACTGCTGGTCCTGGAACGACATGCAACAACGTTGCGAAAGGACCAGCTGGCCGCGAAAGGCGGCTGGACCTGGCGCCTTTCGTTCCCCCACCCCCTTCCGGCCGGCGGCCGTTCCATCATTTTGGGCGGAGCCAAACGCCGGCCGGCCACCGGACTAGTAAATAATGCCGGCCGGCTGCCGTTCCACTATGCAAAAGCTCGGAAAGCACACAAGATTGCGCGTACAGTAAGAAAATAATTTCAAACACTGGGCGCGTTGTGTCTGCTAAGTAGAAAACTTTCCTCTATTAATTTTCTATTATTGGGGTTTTCTATTTCGGCTGCGTCACTTTCTTTGTCCGATGATAGTTGATGTAGCCCATTATTATGATTCCGTTCATTTCATTCATTTCTTTTCAGATTTGGTCAAACTCCATGGTGTTCGTTATCACTTCTCTCTATATTATTGCTTATTTTGACTTGAATGGCGAAAAAGCCGAACGTCAGTGAGTTCATGCCTATTTGCTGTGACGTGATTCTAAATAACTGTCGCGACACCTTTTGCTCAGATAACCGCCGGGGGCAGGCGGCCATGCAAATTTTGAGCAAGCGCGCACCGGAAAAATAGTTCGTTGATTTTTTGCGGCCCGCTTGCAGAAATTTGGAAGAAAGTTGGCGAAGTTAAAGACGAATGTTTGAAGAACAATCGCGGTTTCTTTATGGATTAGCGCTCGACGTACGCCCGAAAATGCCTAAAAAGAGTCCGAGCGCTTGCTGAAAGTTTGGCCAGCGCTCGCTGAAAGAAATTATTTGCCGAGCGCTTGCAAAAAATGCTGTATTGCTGCCCGCTGGCAGAATATGCGTCCGTAAAGGAAGTGCCGCCCGCTGAAGGTTTGACCACGCCCCAAAATTCTGCTGACCGCCTGCAGAAAAGCGCAGTTTGCGGACCGCCTGCCCCCGGCGATTATCTGAGTGGGTACGAACTAAGGAAGTACAAACTAGAGTCCACAAGTTTTTTTTAGGAGATAGCTGCAATACATTGTGTTTGGGTTCTTGCTTTTATGATGGATACAATGAATGGTTGACCGCTGTCAGGTTAACACTGTCATTCGTGATTACGAAACACTGTTAATCGTGAATACGAATATGGCCAATGAATGCTCCTTTATATAATCCTCAATGCTGCGAATTGTGGACTATTCCTACTTTGAGTATTCCAATTCATCTGAAGATCGTTGATCTGTTGGTTTCTGCTAAGTCACTATGTGATATACTACCGCATTTCTACTAATCTGATGCTTACGTCTGCTCGAAGCACTCCAAAAGATTTAAGTTTTCTCTGACTAAGATTTGATTGAAACTACCCAGTATGTTCTAGACCGATACGATCATCTGTTTTAACCATCTCCGGTAAATGCATATGTTTTGATATTGCTCTGCTAACAGACGTTATCGCTACTCTATGCATAGCTGTAAGTTCTGGTATAAGTTAAAAATTGTCAATAAATTAATTCATTTACAGGTTATCGGATGCGGCTTATCAACAGTTGAATGTGGCATTCAGAAGTACAAAACAAATATGTGACCTTTTAGCCTAGCCAATCCGGAAAGGTTGTTTAACGATATGTGAACCGTTGCATCAAATCTAGCTTTTTAGTTTTGAATGTATTTTTCATGCATATGTGTACAATGTGACAATGTTTGTTGTTTGTTCAATGTCTCTTTGCATTGTATCTTCTGGCTGTAATAAATATGTATGTTTTTGTAGGTTCGTACCACCCCATATTAAGGTTACAGAGCTAGACGAAAGGTAGATAGAAAAAAATACTGTGGCCCAGTGCTATTTTGTTGCGCCATTGGCGCATACCGGCCAGCGGCCGTACGGGTACCGGCCAGGGCCCGGCACAGATCGTCTAGAAGCAGGCTGGACTTCGTTTTTGGAGCAAAAAGCAAAGGGGATATCGTTTTTGCGGGGTCCGGGGCGAAGCCCCGGAAAAAAATTTTTGCACATGTCCAGCTCGGATTCTGGAAAGCTTGAGGAGGGTGGAAATTGATTAACAAGTCACTCACTGCTGTCCCAAGGCTTTCTATGATGGTTAGGAGTTCCATTGATGAGAATGTTAACTTTGGCTCTGCCTGGACCAAAACACCAAATCTGGAAAATTTCAAAATCTTTTCCAAGATTTTTAGGTTTTTTATCCACTAACCCTCTCAACAAGTTCAGCGATCTCTTCTTTGCTCTTTCTGTACCACCAAGACCCTCGATAATATTGCAGACTCTCTTCGCAAACAGCCAACAGCTTTGCCCTGGAAAAGGTATGAGTGAGCAGTACACAAAGATACGGTACTAAACGTCTCACTTGAATTCTGTCAAAGTCTTGTCATCTATATGCCCCCCTCTTATAGACTTCAGAACCTCTGCCGACTCTTCGAGCAAAGCTACTACTTCATTTGGTAGCGGAGCAACCCTCAAACGAATATAGAGGGAGTCGCTCCTGAGATGGCATTCCTAAACAAGAATTTGAGAGAAACATGATTATGGTGCAGTAAGTGATCGAGAGATCAACTCAGTTTCTAGGAAAAAGTAGGTCTTACGGTAGTTTGCTCCTGGATCTGGATGTTTGCCAGTTGAGGATCTGACACACTCGTTTCCAGGAATGGTTTAATTGGCCTTTGGTCTAAATGTTTGCTTTTTGTAATCTACTGCAACATGCTGATATTCAGAACATCGTATTATAGTTTCCTAACTTCATATTTTATCAGAATGTTTGGCTGAAGAAAAATTTGCGATTTGACTGCTTTTTATGCTGTGGTTCTGCCCCCTGCAACGAACAGCGTTAATAACTTCTCTGATCTTCATTAATTTTTTCTGCGTATCGTGCTTCATCTTTTTGCTGGTATTCAGAATGGCGCTGTAAGGTATTGAGGTGGATGTGATAGCAATCACGATCACAGATCTTTCTGCAGTTACTAAAGCAACAAGCTCTTGGTTTTCTACCAATATGAAGATATTTAGGATCTCCACGACTTGCTTTTTGTCCGCTACCGCATTTGATGCCCAGTTCTGCACAACTCTGGTTGCTTACGCTACGCACCACGAACACTCGCAATATGTAGGCCTTCTCAACAAGATCAAGGCTCTCATAACGAAATGAGGACGGAACAAATGAATATCAGCTATACAGTCATGTAAGTAGGCTTTGTTTATACATGTAATACTCTATGATCTGTGCACGCTATTATCTGTTGATGAATTGTTACGTTTACGATTTACTCGAATGTTTTTTGTTGAGAGAGGAGGTGAAAATTTGTTATGCCATTGAATGTGTTTGTTAAATTTGTCTATCGTGCGCAGCTAACGCAACAATACACATGGCCTCGAGTCTTTAATTTATTGTCATCATTTCATCGTTCAACTGTTTGGCTTGAATTTGAAGTATCTGTCTTTCATAAGGTTTTAAGACTGTGCAAGATATATCGTAGTTCAGAAATCTTCGATGTACTTGTTCACTCGTTCCTTGTACTTTGGACACTTGATCTGCAAAAACAGTGTACAAACGGAATCATGGATGAAATGCATTCGGTACTCACCTTTATATAACCAAGAACGCTAAGTATAACGAAAACATATCGACCCTCGAGCTGGGTGCAGGATGCGCGTTGGTTGCGAAGGGTTTTGATTACCTCTACTATCTGAATTAAAAATATAAAACTTTTTACAAATTACTTTTTCTCTCTTTTCATGCTTACATCGACTTCCTTGCAGCTGAATAATTTCCTTGGAATGATGTCAATCATAATGATTGTGCCAGTTCTGCCTACTCCAGCCGAGCAATGCATCATTATAGGACAGTTGCCAATTTGTCACCTTGAAAAGCAAAAACTTCTACCAGCCGCTAAATTTAGATCCTGCAAGTTCGATAAGGCAGCTTTTGCATGGTCATGCTTACGCTAACTTGACGAATCAAACGAAGCACATGGCGACCGCTCATCTCATAGGTAGGACACGATCTGGCCAGCTGGTCATATGGAGTACCTTGAATCAACTGGATAATACTGTATTTGCAATTTCTGATTAGCACGCCGACCTTCACTTATTTGAATTAGAGCAACCATAGTAAGACTTCTACCTTGTATAACATGAACTTTCCTTCCGATTCAACCTTAACACATTGACGACAAGGCCGATTTTTCGTTTACTGCCATTTCGGACAGGAGCCTTTTTTGCTCTGCCAAACTTACGACCCACCCGTGGGTCGTATTGTCCGAAATGGTAGTCTTTTTGGAAGAAATTCAAAACATGTCTCCGAGAATATCCCCACAAGGGTTATCGAAGGCGCTGATTATCAAAATATGATTTGTTTCAGTTTTTGACAGTATACGGTAAGATTACGGCAGTCATTCTGTACGAACCCAACATCATGGATTTTCGTGAAAAATTGTGTTTTGGGTTTATTTCACTTGCTGAGCACGATTATAGTGTCCACATTGTTCACTACTTTCTCACAGTGGGACTACGGTAGCAGTACGGTAGGATTTTCGTTACAATCAAGAAACTGATGTAAGAAGGTGGTATCAGAACTCGAGACTATTATTTTCGTAGTCAGCATGCTAAAAAACCTATATATATGAGGTTTGAGCTTTCTGGGAAACAGCGCGAAAAATCAATAAAGTTGATAAAATCGATAATTTTCGATGGACCAACATCAGTCCCGTGCCATCCCTGTTCTCGTGCATGTATACTAGAATTTTCAAAAACAGCACCACTCTATGAAGAATCTGAGCTAAAGTCGTGCCTTACCTCTATCTAGGGTTTATCTACCGTAACATTACAATACAGTATCCCGAACCCGGACCACTCTGGCTGGAGCTTCGCCAAGGTGTCCCCAATCATGTGCTAGAATCCGTAGAATTCCATCGCATGCTGACAAAGTAAGAGCTTTCGAAAACTTACGACCCACCGGTGGGTCGTATTGTCCGAAATGGCAGGACACGTACGACCCACCGGTGGGTCGTATTGTCGTCAATGTGTTAATATAGAGCTCGAATTAGGGAAAGTTCACATTCTCAGGCTTAAGATCTGATATTTACTACCTTTTTAGTATTGACAAACATTTTTCCGAACTTTGATACTGACCAGCTTGCAATGGCCAATACTGCGTACTTTTTACTTTACCATCTCAATAATCTGGAATTTAATTAGGTGAAGCCTGTTAGGGTAGCGAAATTCAGGCCAGGGATACCTTTGTTAAATTGACAATGTGTGGACATCCTTCTTGGAAGACCATCCGCCAGAAGTCTTCTATGGTATATTCCATCGGAGCCTTAATTTTCGCTGGATTTTTCAATTTTTTTTTCAATTTAATTTTTTTCCAATTTTCCAATCTCAGGTCTGTATGAGAATGGTCAACTGGTTTGTTGGACTCAAAACGCGTTATGGAAATACTTAGAGATCCTTTGGAAATGTATGTAGATGCGCTTGTCGATCCAGACTATGATGGCGACGGCGGGGGGGGAGTAGGGCAAGGTTCAAAGGGGACTTCGTAAAATTCTCGAAAGTCAGGGGGACTTCGTTTTTAAAAACTCTAGAAACAGACTCGTGCCGGGCCCTGGTACCGGCTGGCGGTCGGCTCGCGACCGGGGAACGGTCAGGAGTCGCGGCGAGAAATCGCCGCGATGGCCGCCGCACGCGACGTCGCTTCGCGAGTGCGATGGCGGTTTATCAAAGGACGCAAAAAGACTGCCGCTTCCGCGCGAATCCTACCGAGAGAGCAAGCACGCCCATAACAAAACGACTGTTCTGTAGGAAAATGATGTTGTTTGGGCGACAAACTGCCATCCTAGTCGCAATGGCAAATGGTTCGTCAAGCCCCTGTCTCAGAAATTGCAGGACAACAAAAGTAGTGATTTAAGCACATAAAAAGCAAAAACAATGTGTTCTTTTTGTGAAGCCATAATTGGAAGTAAATAAGCTGCAGGTTTGAGTTGTCCTAAAGGTAAGTATCAGCTTCTGGAGTATTGTAAATCCGGAGAGTTCGATCTAAGTTACTCGTCGCATTTATATCATTTTTGTTCACATTTTCTCAGAGCATAGTATTTTTTGTTGAATAGCCCACATTTTGACCTCATATTTGAAACGATCTTTGAGAGCATTCCACAAGAACTGCGAGGTTCCAGCACCCCCCTGCCTTTTGCATTCTCATCCTCCTCTTGTTCCACACTTTGGATTCCACTGGTCATAAACAGCTCTTTATGATGATTTGATCAGAAGCAGCTACTGTGCATGGAGTATGTCAGTTTTTGAAGAGAAAAACCATCTTCAAAGTTGTTTCAAATGACCACGCACGCATACCATTCATTTGAAATAAAAGAGACAAAACAAAGGCCCTCATCTTATTTTTATCATGAACAAGCATCAGTAGTAAACAAAGGTTCAATAGGCCTTCAATAGGCAAACTAAAAGATGGCTTCGAAATTTTTCGATTGTTCAGCTTCAAGGATTGGAAGGACGCCTGCTAGAAGCTTGCTGGTCAAGAGAAAATGTTCCACGAAACCGTACTTATCTATATAAGCAAAGAAAGATCCATTATCTGTAACCAGTTTTAACTAACCATTATCTGTAAGCCCCGCAGCCTCAAATTTCATTCAATTAGTTGTGCGGCAAGCTTGGCAAGTGTTCGTGAAAAGTTGTTCAGCATGCTCGTCCGCCGCGCTGGTAAGAATTCGCGCGCGATGTGCGCGGCGAAGCGTCGACCAAGCGCGGCGTGACTCCTGACGGGGTGTAGCCCGGAAGGCGACAAAACCCAGTTGGAGCGAGCGCATGGAGGCCACGCCCCTCATGGGCGCCCGCGACACTGAGCTTCAGGTCAATCAGGCCCGGGACTGACGCTTTTTCGGCACACGTGCTGGCGCACGAATGGTAACAGCATTCTTTGGAGTTTCCATTGTTTTACTTGTTGCCTTCGGTCAAACTAGTGGTCAAATATGGGCTAAACAGCTTACGGAGCAAATGTGTCACTTGAAAATTTATTCCCTTGTTGATACTTGTCCATGAGTTTGGTAGTGCAACTTTTGGTTTCCTCAATTCAAGGTTGAAAAGATCAAGCATTACAGACCTACGAGACACGCCATTATAGCTTTGGAACAAATGAGAGAACATAATCGCAATTCGCCGCCCAAAAGACGGGTTATGAGCAGATCAATTTCTTCGAAAGCGCGTTCTTTTAACCTAGAAGTGCAGTTTTTCCGCGATCTTCATTCATTTGTTTCACGGAAGTCGATTTGTCACATTCAAATTCATAGATCATGCACCGCAACGACTGAGCTTGTCATGAACGGTAATCAAGACATGCAAAGGCAGTGTGGTATTGTTCAAACAGACAAATCAAAACTATCATACTGTTGCAAATCAGCTCCCTTTCGGTGGAAGAAATACAAACTCTTTTTGCCGGAAATCCAGAACTGTCCAATTACTCAACCCGCTAGCAAACTGGCATTCTGTCCATAATCAATTCTATGACCTTTCCTCGGCTTTTCTGCGCTCTTCTGTTTTACAGTTTGAACGATGAATCTCTCAATGAAAAAAAGGCAGCGATGCTAACAATCAGAAAAAAGAGTGATTATTATATCACTATCACATTACAGTGTATTGCAAGCGACAGCTGAAATAAAAAATTTGAAGTGCTCGAACAGTCTCAACATCGAGATCCCACCGCAGAATGCGTCCTTGCTCAAAGTGCTCAAAATCTTCTTCTATGTTCAGCCTGAAGAAAAGTCGTATTGTGAAGAAGATGCAAAAAAATAATAGCTCACCTTTACTTGATATAACTGGCTTATAGTACCGTTGTTGAGTGGGGTTCTACTCACATTCTATCCGCTCGACATCGTCAACTTGGACCAGGTCTGCACAAAAACTAATTAACGTATAAATGGTATAGTTAACTAAATACCTAACCCATGAAAAAATACAAAACTATCACATCACTCAAGAACGCAGATATCTACTAACCTCCTTACTAGGATGATCTTTTATAGCACCATGCATATTGCTGCAGCCTGAAACAAAACTTTTTAGAAAAGGCAGAAGAGCATATCCTCACAGAGAGGCGAATACAAAAGAAAGCAAATCATCACATTAACACAATGAGCAATAATATACATACACGAACAAAAACGTCCAAAAAACCAGAGAACAAACGACGAAGTCAGAGATTGAGAGAGCCATGCGCAATGTGTATAAAGGCGTCCCAATCCAAATATCCAGAGCATCCTAACAACACTAGCTGCATTTGTTCTAGGTCATTTGTCGCCTTCCGGACGTTCCCCCTCCTGGGACGTCGAGCCGTCGCGACCGTCCCGGCCCAATCCAAATATCCAGAGCATCCTAACAACGGGAAACTCGGACAGGGCGTGGCCACTAGCTGCATTTGTTCTAGGTCATTTGTCGCCTTCCGGACGTTCCCCCTCCTGGGACGTCGAGCCCTCGCGACCGTCCCGGCCGAAATGTCAATGACGACCAGGGTTGAGCAAGAGGTCAGGCACAAGTCCTTCCAAAACGACCCCACCCCCAGTGAAAACCCCTAAACGACCCCTCTGCTTCACCTACAGGACCTCAGGCTGTGATAATTCGAAGAGATCAGCCGTTTTTGGGAGGTTCTTGTTTTTTGGAGGTCTGTAGGTCGACTTTCTGCGATTGCACAGCACATGCAGCTTGACGGCAAGTTTTGGATTTTGGATAGCCCTACTTTTAGAGCTATAATTCCCACAGGGGTGTATTGTTTGGCTCCAAATTTGCAGTATTGCAAGAAGAGGCTTTGAGTTCAATACTCATAACAGAAATGGAGCGATTTTTAGATTTTGAAAACAAGTTAATCGGGTCAGGCGCAACCCCTCAAAAGCTCAGGCGGCCTGACCTTTTGTGGGGTTGCGCCTGACCCGATTAACTTTATCATTGAAGAAGCCTTTTTATTCAAGTTTTATGTGAATCGCTAGCACAACCCTCGAAGATTCCACAGTAAGTGTTTGGACTTGATTCGACTTGTTTCGGCCTTGTGGTAATCCGTGGAGTTAAAGCAGTCATGGCGAAAAACGCGCCGGTCGGAATTTTGGCATTATTTCTTACTCCACTATTTGCAAGCGATACAAAGCGCGATTATTAGCCTAGACTAGTGGGGAACAACACTTTGTTACGAGTACAAAAAAACTGACTTTTCTCACTTTTGAAAACAAGTTAATCATGTTTGAAAATCACGCTTTTTAGTCGTTGAGAAACACTAGATAATGCAGTAAATAATGGTTTGTAGGCCTCATAGAGGTAATTTGACGTGCTCGGAAATGATACCCATTTCACACAGCAAGCTTCCTTGATGAATTTATATGTCAAGGTAGAAGATGAAGATTTGAGTTTTGGCCTAAACTTCGATTATGAAATCAATCAGTATGCTGTTTAAGACCGTTCATTCCTTCAGTACTGGTGAGGTCGCGATATCCACTAAACTAGCGCTTTTCTTCTTCACCTTAATCGTAGTATCTCCTCAATCGAACGAATTCGATTCCTAATCACGACCCCCCCCCCTCTGTCTTACCCCAGTACGACCCCCCAGGTCGGGCGCGCCTGACCCCACGCTCAACCCTGATGACGACCCGGCCGGTCGTGGAACGGCCGCCGGGTGTAGGCCCTTCTGAACCCGCTCCAATCGTGACGGTGGTAATAGGTTGGACCACCCACTGAGGTCGCACTGCGATTGGCTGCAGCTTTCGTGCGAGCGGTTGGCGCGCTGCGTCTCCGTACGAGCTTCTCGACGGAGCGTGTGGCGTGTTTTCAAACAATACGCCACAAGATGTACCCTGAAGCGACGTAAGACAAAAAAAACGCGTCTCACATATTCTCATCGCACATTTCTGTTTATTCGCGGGTATTTCATTCTATCATATGCGTTCTTCTTCCATCGTCATTCACTCACCATTCTTCGACCATCGTGAGTGGTTGTTCCCAGCGTCAGGCTGCTTACCCACAGGGAAGCAAGCGACAAGCCGGCTGAAGAAGACGAATCGTCGCATCGATTGGTATGCTCTTTTATGTCTCAGCGAGATCAAAGACTTACAGCTAGGGCGTTCCCCGAAAGCAACGAGAAATTGAGCCTAACGAACATGAACAAAGAGCGAGAGCTACTGTCTCAACGAGCGAAAAGAAGATTTTCAAAAAACTTGGCTCATCATAGGTACAAGCAACGACAAAAGTTCTCAGAATCGCTTCGACTTGCAACCATCAACGTAGGATCTTTGACGGCGCGACACCGCGAACTGGCAGATCTTCTTAAGAGACGCAGAGTGGATGTCGCCTGCATTCAAGAAACCAGATGGAAAGGGCAAAAGTCGCGCGATATAGGAGACGGTTTCAAGCTCCTATACAACGGAGTAAGTGATGGCAGAAACGGCGTAGGGATAGTTGTCTGCGAAAGACTGAGAAAGAAAATAACTAACGTTGATAGAGTAAGTGACCGCCTTATGAGCATCAGGATTGAAAATGGGAAGCAGATTTTACGAGTAGTCACTGCCTACGCACCACAAACCGGTTGCGGTGAGGTTGAAAAGAATGTGTTCTGGCATAAACTCGATGATTATATCCGATCTTTACCATCAGAAGAGATGCTCCTGCTTGGAGCAGATCTCAACGGCCATGTCGGAAAGCAAAGGAGTGGCACAGAAAAATGTCATGGAGACCATGGATACGGAGTACGAAATGAAGATGGTGAACGCATTCTTGAGTTTGCTACAGCTCATAACTTAGCGCTGGCAAATACCTATTTCATAAAGAAAGACAGTCATTTGATTACGTATGTCAGTGGAGGCAGAAAGTCACAAATAGACTTTTGGGCAGTAAGGCAGAGTGAACTCAAGTATGTGAAGAACAGCAAGGTCATTCCAGGTGAAGAATGCATACCGCAGCATAAGCCACTTTTACTGGATTTAAATATTCCATCCGACAAGCAAAGATGGAAAACGACAGAGCAAAGAGAGCACATCAAATGGTGGAAGCTCAAAGAAGACCATAGCGCCACAGTTGCATTAGAATCTACTCTACCTGAGTTAGAAGAAGATGTAGAACAGTCGTGGGCGAATCTAAAGAAAAATGTTCATCAGGTAATTGGAGATATACTAGGGCGCACGAAACCAGGAAGACCTAGACTCAACAGAGAAACATGGTGGTGGAACGAAGAGATTCAGCTTGTGATAAGAAATAAGAAATCAGCTTTTAGAGTATGGCAAAGAACAAGGACAGAAGATGCTCATCGGAAGTATCTAGAAGCGAAACGTACAACAAAAAAGAGAGTAAGGGAAGCGAAAGAAACGTATGTAACCGAGTTGTACAGAAAATTGCATACTTCCGAAGGTGTACGTGAAATCTACCGTTTGGCCCGAAGAAGGACTGAAGCCATGAAAGACATAGAGCACTTCTACAGTATTAGAGACGAACAGGGGAGGATGTTGAAAGGACCAGAAGATATAAATAAAAGATGGCGAGCATATTTTGCAGAGTTAGCGTCCGCGAGCTGCGAATGTACATCTACCATAAAAGCTGAACCAGTTCACGGACCAGTGCCAGCCATTACAGAAGATGAAGTCCGCGTCGCTATTTCGAAGACAAAGAACGGCAAAGCGACAGGCCCAGACGATGTCTCCAACGAATTCTGGAAGAAGTGTGGACAAAATGGAATTTCGTGGCTAACGCGACTACTAAACCAAATAGTGAGAATCAAGAGAATGCCTAGCGACTGGTATAAAAGTATAACGATACCAATATGGAAAAATAAAGGCGACATAGCCGACTGCTCCACGTATCGGCCCATCCGTCTCATTAGTCACACGTTGAAAATATTCGAAAGAATATTGGAGACACGACTTCGAGATATAGTGGAGCTTGCACCCAATCAATGCGGATTTTTGAAAGGCTGCGGCACAACTGATGCAATTCACATCGTTAGAACACTTATGGAAAGATGTCGAGAAAAACAATGTGAATTACATGCTGCATTCCTGGATTTAGAGAAAGCATTTGACAAGGTGCCACATAACATGATCTGGTGGGCCCTACAGAAGCACATAGTGCCAGAGGAATATGTTCGGTGGGTAAGAATGATCTATCAAGGTGCAACCAGCTATGTAGAGACAGCAGCAGGACGATCAGAGGATTTCCACATAAACATTGGCGTACATCAAGGATCCGTCCTTTCACCCCTCCTCTTCATAATTGTTGTTGACGCGATAGTTAGAAATTTTATACGTCAACCCCCATGGGCACTCATATACGCTGATGATGTGCTCCTGATGGCAAGAAGCAGGAAGGAGCTGGAGATGGACGTACAGATGTGGAAAACCCAGCTTGAACGACATGGTTTCAAGGTGAACATTCTGAAAACGGAATACATGGAAGTGGGTTTCCAAACGCCTGGAACTATTCAAATGGGAAACACTCTGATAAAGAAGACTACCTCTTTCAAATACTTAGGAAGTCGCATTTCTGCGGATGGCACGCTAGAAGACGAGATATGCGACAGAATAAACGCAGCTTGGTTGAAGTGGAGAGACCTCACAGGAATTATGTGTGACAAGCGGATGCCAATATACCTAAAATCGCAAATCTATCGTACGATGATCCGACCGACTGCGATGTACGGCTGCGAATGTTGGCCTATCACGCACAACGAAGAGCGAAAGCTTAGTACGATGGAAACAAAAATGCTGCGATGGACTCTAGGCATCACAATGATGGACCATGTCACAAATGACACCGTACGAACCATGATGAAAGTCGCCCCAGTTGTCAAAAAATTGCAGGAGAGACGCAATGGTACGGCCATGTGAAAAGAAGTGAAGAAGACCACATTACCAGATCGAGCACGTCAATAGATATATCGGGAAAAAGACCAAAAGGAAGACCGAAACTGAGATGGTTAGATAAAATTAAAGCAGATATAAGAGAGCTCAAGCTAGAAGAAGAACAAGCTTTGAATTGCAAGCTGTGGAAGAGACTCACAAGAGCAGCAGACCCCGAATAGAAAAAAAAACTTTTTTCTTTCATTGGGAAAATGCAAGGATAATAAATAAATAAATAAATATGCGTTCTTCTTCCAGCAATGAACGTCGACCGTTAGTAGTCCTGAAGTATTTTGCTGCTGAGAATCGTTTCTTGAGCTTACAGCCGGAGTGAATATGTTTAATAGAAATGATTTATCTAGTTAGAGCACGTCACTTGGACTGAACATTCATTCTTCCAAAAATAGGTTTTCTTCCAAAGTGTAACAATTTCCAGGTGTTTTACTCAACCACGCTTTGAATTAGGCAAAAGAAGAGCTCAAAATACTTTTTACGACCAGAGGAGCAACGTACAATTATGGATTATGGCCATGGCGGAGTATCCCGACCAGACAGGATTCCAATGAGGCAAGTACTTCAAGGTCTTGACACTCACTGCAGATAACTCAAGACTTATTCTCATGCTTCATGAATGACCTAATTATCCATTTTTTGTTCTATTTTTGCATTTTAGGGATGACTACCCGAGCACAGAAAACTTGTTGTCAACCGCTTCACCAGAATCACCTCTTGTTTTCATTGTCAATCCTGATTTTACGCTGGGTGAGCTGTCAATACTTTCCTCTTGCGCTTGTGCACTCGCACTTTCAGAGCATAGATAAATGTTGATTACGAAATTTAGTCAGTTTTGGTAGATTAGCCTAGTTGTTTTGATTTTTTTTCCTTTTCAGCACTGTGTTCTTCTTAATCTAAAGTTATCTCTTTCGTGTATACTTTAGTGATCGAAACTTTGCATATTCAGAAAGCTTTTATTTGGAATCTCCTGCTTTCAGGACAGTTCTCTCGAGAAGCACGCGCATACTCAGTCGACAAGACTCTGAGAGGACTACCAGCTACCGTAAAGTCAAAGAAATATCACGTCAGCCGATACCTTGAAGACTTCGTTCTAGTAAGGGTTTTCTTTTCGAAGTAACCTCTTAGCTGTATAAATCTATATATGTAAGGTTCTCAACGGTGAAAGTCACATCTGCTGAAGAATTCACGAAAGGTAATGCTATTAACGTCGTAGCTGGTGAAGAATGGACTAGCATGCAGTCATTGGCTAAAACTGTTTTGTCTGGTCTTGGGGACACTTATATCGCTGTCATCACAGCAACTGATGCTGTTGCCACTGAGAAGGTGCCTTTTTGTTGTAGAAAATTCAGCTGATGTTCCTCTTTTTTTACATATGCTGTTCGCTCCTTGAATGTCATTGTTTATAGAAATTTTCTATCTGTGATGTCAATTTTTTTCGTTTTCTTATTTCCGCTATTTGACTTATAAGTTGAAATCCTATGTATAAAAATCATTGGTAATTTTAAGCCATTCCAGTTACCGATTATGGTAACCATTTCTCAAAGGCAGAATTTGACACAAGTTCTGCAGTTTTCATAGTTTCTTAGAATGATTTGAATTGTCATTGCCTAGATTATTCGAAAACATTCATGAATTGTGCTACTTATAATCATTTGACTTCTCTGCTAGAATCGTGACCCTGAGTAATATAACACGCCTATATGAGGAGGTGTGATTTGCGATGAAATAAATCACTCTATTTATCACCAGAATTCAGAAAGTAAGTGTTGCACCGAGATATAGAGTACATACACATGATAAGTGAAGAAAGTTCAGATTTCGAAATTTTCAAGGCGAGTAATGCAATAAAAGCATATATGCAAGCACTATCCAGTTCAGAGTCTTCAGTGCCATCTGGATTCTCCGGGTTATCCACCCTCGAACTTGGATTCTCAACACATTTTCTCTTTGCTTTGGGAATACAGTCAGAGTGATTTCTCTTGGAAGCTTTCGATTCTGCATACATCCCTGGGCTTTGCATTTTGGCGTTTGTTAGTAGCATTTAAAATCATCTTTTCAAGTGCGACATCCCACTCTTCTTCGGGCACCGCTGACTTCAATCGCTTGAATTGGCATGACATCGAAACCGAAGAAGCTTATCGCTTTCATAACCAAGAAAATGACTCTTGTTCTATAAAAGATCGAATTTGTAACCAATGCTGATACAACTTACCGAGAACGACTTCAAAAAATCGGATGCATGTAAATTGTCATCCGAGCTAGTCGATTGTCCCCTGAAAGTGACGACCTCTTTGGACGATTGACATATCAATATAGCCTTATTGAGTGAAGCCTCATTCTTCATCAGTGGATGTGCTCTGATACTTGGCATGTATATCAATCTCATTCGCCGATGGGACTTTTCTTACATGTAAAGCTGCATCAATGCAATCCCTCAACAGCGTCTGAATGCATTCAAATGAACAAAGAAAAAGTATATTATGCTTGATCGCTTACAAAGTTTGCCACCAGCTCACCGAATTTCTTATCAGGGGCTTTCCAACCGTAAGCGAGACTATATAATATAGCCATAGCATTGAGTGTTGAAACATGAGGTATAAAAAGTTTTTCCTGTAAGACAGAAGTGACACAATGTCCTAGCGAAAAAAACCTTACTATATATACCTTACCTTACTATATATCTTTGATGTACAGTTAATGCTATTATTATGTTCGAACATGGTCTGGGCCGCTACTCTCCGCTACTCAAAATTATAGGGAAGTGCAAATACACAAATCGACCATTGAGCAAAAAAAATTTCATGCGTAGCCATTGAAGATCATATAAGACACAGAGGTGCAAAAAAGGTTGCGCGACAAAAAATGCTCGAAATATATCTGCTAAAGACAAGGAAGGTAAAATAAAATAGAATTTCTGAATGGCTAAAAAAAACAAGATGATGAAGAGCCGAAAGGGTTGGGTAGAATGGCACTGTCACACAAAAATCACAATCCACAACAGGAAATTTCCGTGCAACAACAAATTGACAGCATTTTCGTGTGCTTTTCAGTGAGAAGGGCTGCATTTGATGACTTGAAATTTAAGTAGATGAAATGAAGCTTGCGAGCAGTGGATAAGAAGTTTAAACACACCCGCACATGCTTTCCTGATGACAAGATTATAGAAGTAAAACCTAAATCGAATTGTTACCGTAACCGAAGCAAGCCGTAAAGTTAAATGGCGCCTCCGCAATTACACACTGCACCATCCACACTTTCATAAACAGTTTGTTCCCGCAATTAACATGAGATGCAGATTTAAAATTTCCAAAATTTAGGTTCAGTAAAGAAAATGACTGAATTGACGAGAAAATTGGGATTTAGATGTTTCCGAAGCTGCTCTATCCAAAATCAATAGTTATATCGCTCAAAAAAAATCGTGAAACTGGGTTTTCAAACAAAATTCGAACCTAAAGTTCAATGGAGTAATTTCCTTCGCCACTAAACTGGTAAGCAGTTTCAATATCATCTAGACATTAATTCTCTTCGATACGGAAAATGTCGGAAACAAAATTGCGAATCTGAGTCCATCAGTGATTTTCCCTCGGGCATCTTCAATGATTGACCATTTGCTTTAGGCAGGACAGCCGCAACCATACCTATAGAGGTTGTAACCTATACGCTGTTGTGGAGCCATCAGTTATCATGCCAAGACTTTCGCATATGTCTTATCTATTAGGGCTCAATTTGTCTCTTCTTTTATAAGCTGCGACATTTTCCCACATTTTTCTCAATACATCTGGTGATCTTATGCAGATAAATCAGTAATGCTTTGAGTTTGTACGAATAGAGTAGCAGTTCTGCTATGACCTGATTTTACCATAATTTATTATTCAGATCACAATTCTTCATTGTAGAAAGTTGGTCGAACTTGGGCTTTTGGATCCGTATTCTGAAACTCATTTCAAAACCCAGTTTCATGATTTTTTTGAGCGAAATAACTATTGATTTTGGATAGAGCAGCTTCGGAAACGTCTAAATCCCAATTTTCTCGTCAATTCAGTCATTTTCTTTACTGAACCTAAATTTTGGAAATTTTAAATCTCAGTTTCAGCATCTCATGTTAATTGCGGGAACAAACTGTTGATGAAAGTGTGGTTTTAGGCGTGAAATATGGTGCAGTGTGTAACTGCGAAGGTCCGCATTTAACTTTACGGCTTGCTTCGGTTACGGTAACAATTCGATTTAGGTTTTACTTCTATAATCTTGTGTGAGAATCAAAGGAACACAGTAACAGAGTTTTGGCGAGGGAAGGAGATGTCGAAACGGCGTTATTGATTGCATGGAGAAGAGAGCCGACCATCTCGTCCACAGGGAACGCAGCGCGCCCGCCCGCGTCCTGCGTCTTGAATTACGGTAGCGCGGGCTCGGTTCAGAAGGGCCGTCTCCCAAAAATTAAATGTGTAATTAGAGCAAAATTCGTCAGAATTGCTCAAATGGTCCAATGTTGGTTATCAGAGCACTCCGTTTCAAAGGATACCTTCTGTCCAAAACACTCATACTACATGTTGCTCTATTTAGGCGCTAAAAAGCCCGAAATAGTTAATTTTACTTGAATTCTGCTTTCGTTTTTCGCTCCAAAAAAACATTTATAACTAGGCATGCAGAGGCGCTCGACAGATAATGAAATCAGATTCGCAATCAGCGTTTAAAGCTCTTCAAAATGGTATATGACTCATTCGGAAAGGCCACTTCGACTAATCGGACTTCCCTTGTGAGTACCATTTTTTGAAACTGGAGCAAATTGGAACAACTGGAACATCAGACAAAGAAATACTTTTGGCTGGTTGCAGTCACCCCACTGGTCTGCATAACAAGCACCCATCATAAAAGGCACTGTTTTTTCTTATACATTGTTCTTTCTTACGTGTTTTTTAATGATGTATCTGGACGATGAGACTACCAGACATGTTTTGGTTTCTGACCACTGCTCTCGCCGCGTCCAACTCTACATGGGGTGTGGTGCGGAAGGCGACAATCCCCAATTTTGTGCCTATCAAAAACTCTCCGGTGTCAAAGTGACACCCCGGGGGACTACGGGGGTGGGGGGTGGGGGGAGTTACATTATCAATGCCACAAGTAGAAATCCGTGAAAGTCATTGAGACGGATGATACACAGCCTCCATTTTTCGCCGATTGTCGCCTTCCGCGTGCCCCCCCCCCTCTACATGTGAAGTTGCTAATAATGCATGAAAATCAGCGAGTGAAACCTTATTTGGTATTATCATAAACCTCGTGAGCTTGACAGAAGGTATCGGCTCTTAACTCTGACCCAGGTTCGAGAGAGACTTACGTGTCCTCAATGGCAGGTGTAATGCTCATCCCCTCTGAGGTGGAGGAGTTTTTTGAATCATTGGAATGTGAATAAACTTTACTCGTTTGTCTGTCTGTTGAACCTCTAATCTTCGCTCTATTACAAATTCAGCAATTGCTTGCTGTACATCTTCCGTCTCTCTGCCTTGTGGATTTGATTTTATGGCCGTGGATTCCGTTGTTTGGTGTAGCTGCGTCCTGGTCATTTACTCCGAGTTGCAATCGCAACGTTGTTTTTAGCTGGTTTGTTTTGAATTTGTGACTGTCCCTATTTCCCTTTTTTGTACACCAGTGTCTCTGAATTCCAAAGCTCAGCTTTTGATCAGAAGTAGAAATATATTGTCATAATGACACTTTGCTTTGAGTGACGAATTTGACAGATCTTGAATTCTGCTTTGAGTGACGAATTTGACAGATCTTGAATTCCTTTCCACATCTCATAAGGTTCTCTGCATCTGCGCAACTTTTTCTAATCCACTTTATGTATTGAAGAGAGTTGGATGGTTCAAATTGCGCATCAGGAGAAAGTGATCACGGGCGCTGTTCGCTATCAAACCTAAAAAGCGAACAACTGCAAAGGGCGTCCTTGTTCTGCTTCAAGATTACCTTGTATTAAGTTTAGTGTTATCGATCATCGAGTCGGTTATCGTTAGACAGGGACAAGATCCAGTATCTCTAATTGATTTTGCACAAACTTTACAATCTATCATGGGTGTTTTTGAGAGCAAAGGCACCGGCCATACTACTCCAGGAGATGATTCTGCGGCTCCTGTAATTCCTGCAATTCTAGTGATTCCTCGATTTCCGATGTGCCGCACTACGGAGCGCTTCGTGAATTTCAGTATACATTGTTTATTCGCAATATACATTGTTACGGGACCCACAGGAATCACAGGAACTGCAGGAATCACAGGATTAGTATGGCCGGTCCCAAATGTTACTTTTGTAGCTTGTCAGGTGTTGTTTGTGATGATGCTTTCAATCTGCTTAGCATGAGGGTGGAGGTGAGTATGGAGCTGAATATATTCTAGTGTTCCAAACTGACACGCTAGTTATAATAAAATCGTAACGACGATTTGATTGCGGTCTTTGCGTCCATGGGAGCCACCAGAGAATAGTGCCTCACTGGTTCAATATTTAGCTCAGTTACTGCATTACCTGAACGCTATCATATATATGCAGTAAAACCATTCGTGTAAAGTCGAAATCAATTATGAAACACGTACGCGGCGCGGCGGCCGCACCAGCATCACAATCTTATGATTGCCCTGTGCGTACTATAATCACATCCTATTGCGTAATAAAGAACAATGTTCTCGTTCTCCTCAGCACATATCTTCTCCTGAGTGGTTCTTCTAACAAAGGTATGCCTCGAAGGAATCTCGATGTCAATCTTCGAGTTTTTACAGACTTTTCTGTCTTTGTCCTTGTTCATATGGCAGTCAATCATTTGATCATGTAGCAATCAATCATTCACGAAGCCAGAATAATAACGGCTTTGCGCGTTGCCATCTCGGCAAGCGTTTCCAGCCCTCGACTATTTTTGAAGGTTTTGCAATCGTATCTATAACAAATGGCTGCGAAGAGCGTGCCCCATGATGCATCTTATATATAAAGCTGAATGTCTGTTTGTATGTCTGTCTGTCTGTCTGTCTGTCTGTCTGTATGTGTGTACGTATGTTCCGAATAGAAAATTCCATTTCTGAACCGATCGGGACCAAACTTAGCACACATACACTTCGGGCCCCGGCGGGTTTCATAGGCTACTTTTCGTCATCGATCGATATCGATTTTATCGATTTTTTGCAAAATTCGAGCTAGGGGCTGCCCAGCCCCGTAGCTCAAATTTGCAAAAAATCGATAAAATCGATAAAAGTAATGCACGGTTTCGAAAACTAATATTGTATATGTAATCAGCATGCTCATTTACCCCCCTGTGCCAACTCCCAGCCCCGTAGCTCAAATTTTGCAAAAAATCGATAAAATCGACATCGATCGATAACGAAAAGTGGACTGTGACACCCGCCGGGGCCCGAAGGGTATGTGTGCCAAGTTTGGTCCGGATCGGTTAAGAAATGGAATTTTCTATTGGGAACATACGGCGGAGCCGGGTAAGCCAGCTAGTCTACTTTTAATCTCATGTGTCGCGAATTTTTGAGATTTCGTAGTAACTCGAAAACTAACTTTATATAGACGGGGCATATTTCTCTCTGCACTTACTAAGGGATTGAAGACATTTGAATACTGTAGTAATTTTCCCATCATCTGCATCGAGTTTATTGTGAGAAAAATTAGTGGTTTGCACAAAACTTCAAATCTGCAAAATTTGAAGATAGGGCATGCAAAGCATTTCTTACCGTAACTATCTTGAAACCTTTTTATATTATTCTTGAATACAAGCCATAAATTTCATTCTGGTTGATGATTTGAAGAATTAGCATATTTTATTTGATTCACATAGGAATTCATCGACATATTTGGATGCATTTAAGTTGTTAGTGAATATCTTGGTGAATTCAACCTTCTTCCATGATTTTCATAACGTTTATATGTGCGTAGAAGGAAAGACTCATTTCAGATTTCATAAAAGACATAAAACTTTTTCCACTCACTTGTGACATTAAAATAGGCTAAGGAACACATTCTCAAAAAATCGCGATCAAAAATATGCGAAAAGATCAAAATTGGGTCCCAGCTCACCTTGCTGCTGAGAGTAGAATGGGCTTTCAAGGCCATTTAAAATGGAGGTAAATCCCATTTTGCACCATTCTAAATGGACTTTTCGCATGATTCTTTCGCAATCGAGAGCTCACAAGGGAACGATACTTGGTGTCCGGGGCTTTTTGAGATGAGATGTATACCATTACACTCGCCATAGAGCGCTGATTCCGAATTTGACTTCCGTTTTTGCTAAACATTTCTCTGGAAAAAGTTATGAAGGATTTTTGCCCAAGGGAAATAAAGTCGGAATACCGAAACCGCCGCTACAATGTGGTGTAGTGTCTAGTGCGATAGCCTCACAAGTCAATACAGGTTTAAGTTCGAGTCCTTTTGTGTTTTTCAGTTTTGCCTTGCCTCAATCAACCTTTTTTTGAGAATTAGGCATCCTCGATAGTATTTTCTCTTGGGCTACTGATTGACTCGAAAATCCTTCATAATTTCTTTTAGAGTAACGATCAGCAGAAACGGGAGTCAGATTCGGAATCAGCGTTTCAAGACGAGTATAATGGCCTACATATCATCTTGAAAGGTCACGGACACCAAGTATCGTTTCCTTGTCAGGCAGGGTTGAATCATTTCCATCACACCGCTTTGTCTCGTGGTTGCGATGGGTTAAAAATTTTTGGATAATGCGAGCGAAAGCAGATTCCGACCACCCTTTACCTCGAACGAATAAAATGAGTTTGAAAGTCCATTTTCCTCCATTATGAACTTTGTGGATATCATTCCTGAATAACGATTTCTTTGACTGCTTCTAATCGGATGTCTGCGGTAACAGATGCAATATTGGGAGTGCTTATCATAGGTTATGTCGCCGATGAGCTTCACCCGCTGATGGTTGGCCGGTGTAGTCTGTAATGTGTAGAGGTGCATGGTTCATTGCAATCGCTTTCGAACCTTCATGTCGGCAAAATAACGTTCTCTACCCCTCAGCACTTTCTTCAAATGAGCTTTGTAATCGTGAAATAGAGGTATCGTCGATTCGTTGGCCGCACGGGCTCGAACGCTGCGAACAACGCGCGGCGCGGCTGAAATGGTGGGAGAGCACGATTTCTACGATGGTGAATCTGTAGCAGGGCAAGCGTTCTACATCGCGGCGCGTGCTGCGCAGTGTCCAGTACATGCGGTCAACGGATCGACGATAGATTTCAGCTCAACTTCTATCTTTAACACGGTTTGCTCTATTTTTCCATCTGCACTCCTGGGGCGGTATGTAACAATCGCCCGTCCGGGTAAGTTACCCGGACAGGTAGTTTCCTCTTCATAGCTCGGTGCTCTGGGAATCTGTTCTTCCTTGTTTGTTCATCTGTTGGAGGCTCTACTATCCTAATATTGTAGCACAATGACTAGCAGCACTTTGCTGTATAAGCTGAAATAATTCGTTATTTGCATGATCCCGAACGGGATCTCCCACTGATCAGGCTCTTTTTTAGAGTTATTTAGTGCTGAAGTGCTAAGATAGTGCCTTTCCCTCATATGTTCGTTATTGAAAAATCGATGTTCTAACTGGATAACTTGCTAATATTCTGTTTCACAGGCACAAACAAGATTCCGCCAACAATTTATACACCACCTCCTTCGGACATGGATTGGGTGAGGGCGGAAGATGTGATGCCCACATTCACTGCCATGGAAACAAAGCGATTTTTCTCACTTAGCAGGTGAGCAGTCTGAGTTTTTTTTTCATACGGGACATTTCGGAAAGGCTTGGGAATGGTTTCAAGCGGGCGGCATCCATGTATAATCCGATAAAGGACGCTGGTTCCAAATTTGCTTTTCGTTTTCGCTGCACCTTTCTCTGAAACTAATTATGGTTTTTGGGTTGAGTCTGCGCCGCACAAGGCAACTATGTACTATTGACAGGGCCATCAAAGCATTGCTGTCTTTCCTGTGGCCGTATTCATCAACGAACCCTGAGGGTTAAACTAACCCTGGAGGGTAAAACTTATGTGATTCATCAGGGTTAATTTAACCCTAGCTTAAAGCAAGGTTAACTCTACCCTAACACTTCATACAAACATTTACTCGCATTTAATAGTTTTATGAAAAACTATCAACGAGTATTGTAGTATTTAGTATTAGTTGTTGTTATGGTATTTAGTTTCGACTTCGTTCTATGTTCAAATTCGAAGTACATGAAATACTGACTCAAGTAAACTCACCTGTAAGATTGGATGCTGCTCAAATATGCTAAAGATGTATTATAAAACTAGTGTTAGAAAATTATTCGTTGATTATACTACTATAACAGCGAAAGAAAGTATAAAGTGAATTTAGCACGTACTTAGGCATTCTATGATGTGAGTTTGCACAGGGCACGCGTAACTGACGCCTTAACCCTCCAGGGTTTATAACCCTCAGGGTTCGTTGATGAATACGGCCACAGGTTCGTTGATCGATGCGGGTGGATCGCGTTTCGTGGTAAACCCTACCCTATGGTTGATGAATACGGCCATACCTTCGATAGTCAAGAGACAGAGCCTAGAAAGTGGTAGTTGTTTGAGTTCTTGCCCCCTATAAAAAGTGAAGGTTGTTTTAGAAAAAATAGATGGAAATTTAGAGATCTGAATTGAACCAGGAAATTTGAAAAATTCATACAAAACAGAGGCTAACTCATCACCAAATTTAAAACCTTATCTTGGTGGTTTCCTACGCACATTTTTGTCTCCAGAACTGCCGGTCAAATTGGGTGGCAACAGGAACAAAGTTCTTTTCCAATTGAAAAAAAGCGTTAGCTGTGGCGGTAGTTGGGAGACCGAAAGAAGGCAAACTTGTCAACAACTGAACTGAACATGTTAAACATGTCTGAAAAGTTATACTGCACATCGACGCCAATCTGATTTTTGACGCGTCCTTTGAATTTTCACCTCCGCATGGTCGTTTCGTATCCTGCGACGTTGTCTGGTCTTCCGCTCATCATTCTGAGCAAGTAGCATCCAAGCTGGAGAAAATTCGTTGCAAAAGCATTGAAAAAGAACAAGGTAAAGAAAAACGCACTTTCTGGTAATTTTCACAAAAAAAATCGGCATAAGCAAAGAAGTAAGCTCGGCGACGTTGTCTACATCATAGACAGAAACAAGACCTATCGAATACACAAAAATACCGAGTGAAAAGAGTTTAATTGAAGAAAAAATAAGAGGTTTTCGAAAACTCCGTTTTTCCTATATTTCTCGTTCAAATCATAAAAAGGAGTCTTGCGACGTTGTCAGCGTGAAAATAGAGATCAAGAGCTTTAATATGATATATAGATTGTCGAAATTGGGCTCTCAACAACGAAGAAAAGGGTACCAGAGCCAAATGCCCCGCGCCCCGCTTTTGGGGTAGCGAGGTAGCGCGCAAGTCGCGGAGACGCAGACGAGCAGCGGAGACAGACCAGAGCCGGCGGGGCATTTGGCTCTGGTCATTGATCTCCGCGGGATCATAACGAAACCCTGTGACATTATATATCGTTGTGATCCTCATGAGACGTCCAGGAGCACTGACAACGTCGCGGGTCTTGAAAATCACTCCATAACGAGATAGACCAGCATTTAAGTAGCGACTCTCTGCGCAAGATTTGAGCACAGTTTCTCGTTTCTATTGAACTCCAGCCGCTTTCATGAACTTCCAACGCTCAATCGAAGTGTAGAGAAAGATTAATTGAGAAATTTTGCTCCAGTTCCTCATTGAATTTTTGAATAAAAGTCTTTTTGGCAAAAAAGGCCATAAAAACGTAATCCATCCTATATTTACCTCATTCACATCTCTCCCTATATGGATATGTCATTAGTTATGCCATGATATCCGGGGCTTCGCCCCGGATGACTTCGCTCTAGGTGAAGGTTGTGTTCTATCATGACACTCAAAGTGAAGGTCACCAAAGTACGTGGCTCTATGTATCGAAGGTATGAATACGGTCAATGAACCCTGAGGGTTAAAATAAACCTCCAGTGGCACACTAACCCTGGAGGGTGAGTTTAACCCTGGAAAGCGATTAACCACTATTCATGAAACACAGGGTAGGCTTAACCCTGAGGGTCAAATCTACCCTTGAGGGTCCTTACCCCGGAAGCGATTAACCCTATTCATCAACGAACCGTGATGGTTAAACTGACCCTGGAGAGTAAAACTTGCGTGATTTATCAAGGTTAATTCAATCCTAGCTTAGAGCAAGGTTAACTCTACCCTAACACTTCATACAAACATTTACTCACATCTAGTAGTTTCATGGAAAACGATCAACGAGTGTTGTAGTATCTAGTGTTAGTTGTTGTTATACTATTTAGTTTCGACTTCGTTTTATGTTCACACTCGAAGTACATGAAACACTGACATCGCTAGAAAAAGAATTCTAGCTTTGGTGACAAATGAATGCGACGAGGAAAAATGGTTGCGCATTCTACTCTGACAAGTGCCAAAACAGAAGATTTTCTTTATGATAACACGCACTGACCACTAAGAAAGTAGCACAAGCCCGGTATTAAACCGGCGGAAAAGTAGAACTTTCATGGCACAATTGCACACATAAACATAAACTCACGCTGTAAGATTGAATGTTGCACAAATATGCTAGAGATGTTAAAAACTATAAAAACTAGTGTTATAAGCTTATTCGTTGATTATACTACTACCAGACCGAAGTGCCGCTTCGCGGCACTTCGGTCTGGCCGTGAGTGAAGTGGGATGTGCGTAGAAATTTGGCACATTGCCTCTTCTTACGGTTAGTCAAAAAGTAGGTGTTCGCAAACATCTGCTAATGGCGAAAACGCGAAGTAAGTGAAATTTCTATAGGTTTTATATGTTGATGTGAATGAAATATACAACAGAGCGCTTATCTCCCCAAATGTTTGGCATGTGGAAGATTTACAGCTTTTGCAAAACATTAGCTTGGTGGGTCTAAAATAGCCAAATCTGCTGAGGTTGTGCAACTTGGACTCAAAGTAAGCCATCTAAGTCATCTGGAAAACTTTTTGGAAGAAATTGAAAGCTCTTCTGTCACACTGCGCTGCAACCCCCCCCCCCTCCGTGTTTTCACTCCCCCCCCCCCCTTTGCCCTGAAGGCTTGTTAGCATAAGCATATTTTGCTTTCTTTCCGAAAAGTTTCCTTCAAAAAATCTCTACGTTTCTCTAGTTCCTTATTTCTTCAAAACATGCCACAGTAATCATGTTCTTGAGGTTTTTAGATTGATTTTTATCAAAATTTATGCATACCCAGCGAGAGTAATCTCAACCTTCCAATCCACTTTCCGCTTTTCTATCACTTATTTTCCCCTAAATGAATGTTTTCGAGAAACCGTGCGGGAACGTCTCCGGCTCCTTCGAGATCAGGGAAAAATCTGACACTCGTTCCTTTTATTGGAAATGTCCGAATGTCCTTAAATTTATCAATGTGTAAATTTAGCATTATTTAAGTGTTTGCGCCATATTTTGTTAGTTTTCCTTTACCTTTCGATTACATCTCAAAAACTACTCTTGATCTTCCCCATGTCAGGACCGCTCAAAGTTTTGATCTCTGATTCTTGACGTGCGTATATCTTTGCCTTTGCCGGAGTCAAAGTGCACATCCCCAACTTTTTCCACTCCCCCCCCCCTGCCCCCCTCCCTTCTTTCGTATCAACTTCCTCTATGCTACCCTAATATCTCAGTTTTGCGGCATTTCAAACCATATTTTTCGTACTTCCAGCATTGGGGACCTCCATCTTTCTTTCCTTCAGTTTACAATAACTTTTATACCTCCAATATGCTTTCTATATTTTGACTGATGTTTTCCGAAACTTCAAAACCTTTCTAGCGGAAGCTATCCACGCTCGCGTTGCTGCTCGCTATTGCGATATAGTAATCTAATGCATAACGAAAACAGCCAAGTAACCTACCCCCTTCCCAGCATTTAGCTTGTCTAGCAAGTCACTTTGCTAGATAGGCTCCTCGATTAACATTATCTAAGACAGGCGCCACTACCATCATGAGCCGCAGCTCGGTGCACCTGCACCGGCACATAACGACAAAGTTGTTGACATCTGAATCGCGACCACGAAGGAGGGGGGGGGGGGGGTATCTTACATGCATGAGTCATATCTAGCGCTTTATTATAGAGAGACTAGCTGGCTTACCCGGCTCCGCCGTATCCGGACCAAACTTGGCACACATACACTTCGGGCCCCGGCGGGTGTCACAGTCCACTTTTCGTTATCGATCGATGTCGATTTTACCGATTTTTATCGATTTTTTGCAGAGTTCACCTACAGGGCTAGGAGTTGGCACAGGGGGGAAGTGAGCATGGGGACTCCGAATACAATATTAGTTTTCAGAATTATCGATTACTTTTATTGATTTTATCGATTTTTTGTAAATTTTGACATGCGAGGCTGGGATTTTGCACAGGGGGGCAATCGAGCATGCTGATTACGAACACAGTATTAGTTTTCAGGATCGTCCATTACTTTTATCGATTTTATCGATTTTTTTGTAAAGTTTGACCTGCGGGGCTGGGAGTTTGCACAGGGGGTAATCGAGCATGCAGATTACGAATACAATATTAGTTTCCAAGATCGTCCATTACTTTTATCGATTTTATCGATTTGTTGAAAATTTGAGCTAGGAGGCTGATATTTGGCACAGGGGTGTAATCGAGCATGCTGATCACCCCCCTTGGGGGTGATTAGCATGCTCGATTACCCCCCTG